CTTCTGTTGCTGCAGCTGCGGGCGGACGGCCAGCTGGAGAAGGTAGGCAAACAGTCGACCGACAAGATGCTGATCCCTCCGTGTGTTGCTTAGCTTACATCCGTTCTCTCTTCGCCAGGTCGACGTGGCCGCTTTTCCTGACACCTCTGGAGTTTACGTGGGACCGCCAATCATCTCTGTTTTAGAGACAACTGAAAAGGATTTTAAAAATGGTCAATTTAAAGTTAATGACATGCTCCTACCAGCCACGATGGAGGGACACTCGCAGCGTAAAGAGCTCACGCGGCGATGGTCTAGAGGGACTGCTGCGCGTCGTCGCCTCGCAGCTCGAGGAACTGCAGATCAATGGCGAGGTACAGCCGAGTGTCATGGTGGAAGTGGAGAGAATGACGTCACTCAAAAGACTGGCCGTAAAATGTGTTAATGATAAATCCCTGGACTTTCCGGACCTCCCGTTGCAGCTCGAGGAGCTCAAGATTAAGTTTCCTAGTGAAAACCAGTTGCTATGCGTGGACCGAATGTCTAGGCTGCGCAGCCTGCAGGTTCTTGATTATCAAGGTCCAAATTTGAGCTTCGCCCCCTCACAGCACACAGCCCTGCGGTGGCTGAGCGTGGCCTTTAATGCTGTTCACAAGAACACAATGATGTCGCTGATCCGCGCCTACGCATCATCAGTGCAAGAGCTCTATATAGCCTGTAGCGTCAGTGAGAGAATAAGAAAATCATTTTACCACCCCAACCTTGCCGATGACCTGGCGGCGTGTGGACTACACGCCCTGCGGCGGCTCGTCCTTGAACGTCCTGCAAGTGACCCTTGCGCCGACCAGGTTGCGAGCTGCCTGCTGCAGTGTCGGACCATCGGAAGATCCTTGCCGTCTCACGTCCAAGTGGTCTGCATTAGTTGCAACTTGTCTGCACTCTAGGGGTATACTTTAATCGCCCCCGTTTCTCTCACACATACTTCATGGTCGCGAGTAAACATCCCCTTGCTGCACTTTTACATACAGTGGCTTTGTAGAGATAGTCGTGAATTAAAGCTTGTTCAAGGAATATTTTTTACAGTAATTTGTTTAGTTGAATAAAATTAGCAATGATGAAAGCGTGCTCATTTCGTTACACTTAACATCCGAGGAGGCCGTGCGTACGTACGTGACCGATAGTCGGGATTATCCCCCCCCCTTCTTCGTGACTGATCAGAGTATCCCGACCCCCGTCCTCCCTAAAATAATCGTTAACGTAGGGTAGGGCCTGCCGACCCACGGTTAGAGAGATACGGTGGGGACATGGAGGATGTTCGGAGAGCTCCTTGAATTGTTCAAGTGCCGGTGCAAATCTCAGATGCAGTCCCCCAAATTTTAGTGTTTTTGTTTGCCTTTTTGCAGACAAAATGCAATTTTGTTTTCAGGACTATCCTACATTGGTACCGGTCTTCGATCACCCTCATGCTGGGGATGTCCTAGTTTAGTAGTGGTTGGCGCTGTATGCAGAGTGTGTCGGTGCCCCTCTCTCTCGCACTGTGACTGTGAGGGGCATTTCGGAACTCCCAGACTTTCCGACTTCCGACTTCCGGTCCCTCGGATGCAGTGCCTAAAATTTTTGTGTTTCGCCTGACATGCCCTGACAATTTGAGGAATAGGGCATCGCACTGGGTAACTCAATATGGATCCAGGATGGATCCCACTTTTGGACAGCCCCAGGTCCCCCGACCGTGTATCTCTACACTAGACATGCACGCCGACCTTACTTTTGGTGGCGGCGACATGAGGGCAAAACTCAGCCGGCGGCGGCGGCGGCGGCGTTCACGCCGTCTGTATGACCAGCGGCGGCGGCGTTGCCGGCGCGTTTAGTTGAAATGAGCGCTAATAGACCATTCCACCGAATGGGAAAGAAGAAAGAAAAGAATCAAAAAGTACCGGAAACAGTAAAAACCAGTATGGAGATCATTTTTGTACACCTCTGTGGCACACCAACAAGTCCAGAATAATTATCTTGGTCAAGAAAACTAGAAAAAGGGAACTGTTTGATCTGTTTATCAATACTGTTTCCAGTGCTTTTTGATTCTTTTCTCTCTTCCACAGTCGGTGGAATGGTCTATTATGAATAGGTTGCGTTAAAAACGTTAAATTAACAACAATTTTACTGGTCCAGAGCATTATTATTTCTCGTTGGAATGGGTCGGGGTAGCGAGAGGAGAGGAGTGCGCGTTTGGTAGCCTGTCTTTGGGCACCAATTGGGTTAAAAAAATATGCTGAATTTGGGCCGCGCCGCCAGCTACGCTGCCGATAATTTTACCGGCGGCGGCGCGGCGTGCATGTCTACTCTACTCCGCCGGGCCTCGACGGGCCCCTGCATGGTAGGCACGACCGCCGCCCTCCGCTGTTAGCGTGGGTGGCCTATGGTGCAGCCAGAAGGCGCTTCACTTACGCACAAACTCTACCCAATGCGGTTTTGCCTGTTAACATACGGGGTGGTCCACTCGACAGACCCCTTCCTTTATTCTGCTTATACTGTACCGCATGCAGGCGTGCGAGCGGGCTTTCCTACTGTCGCTTACCGTGGTGCCTTATGGCCCCATGCGAGTATGCAATCCGTCCGCAAACCTGCATCCGGTACGGCATAAGCAAAATAAAGGAAGGGGTCAAAGTTGGGTCTTAAAGGGAATTTGACACTTTTCGCCTGAGATTGCAGTTCTAAGGATATCTTGAAGTACTTTATTCCGAGTCTACTTTTTCGACCCCAGATTTTCACGTGTCAACGTGCGCTTCGAGGCTGCCCCCTTTTCTCGACGTTCCACCATCAGGCCATTTCAAAGCATCACCTAGAAACTCAGTTAATAACGTATCGCGAAGGGCCCCCCTTTCCCCCAGGTCACCGCCCCGCTCACCTCCCCTCCCCGCCACGCCAAGTTATGCGTTGGCTCAATGAATCAGCAGGCACCCCTCCCCGCCCCGTCAGAACGTCATGTCCCACAGTGTGCCGCCTGCCAATCCCTTCACCTACTCCTCTGCTAATACAGCGATGCTGTCGCCGTCCCATCGGAAATGGCCATTAGGTCGCCGCGAGCAGCAGGAAGAGGGGGGGGGGGTGTTTTAAACACCGACCCGGCACGCAAGCGAACTGGATCATTCTCCATTAATCGCGGTATTAACGCGGAGGAGAGGAATGATGTGTATAAAATGCAAGTAAGGCAACTTCTGATTCGAGTGAGCCCTCCAGTGCGGCCGGGCTCTTTTGATGTCTGTTCGGCACTGCGCCGGCCCCGCCCAGCCTTGGGCCCCAACGCAACATCGGGTCGGGTCCTGAAATGAGCTGGTTGGGAGAGCAGGAGACCACTGCCCCAGTTTCGGCGGCCGGATGACTTTTCAGAACGTTTCGGAGGAAGTATCCAGGGGGCGTAGCTCAGATGGTAGAGCGCTCGCTTAGCATGCGAGAAGTACGGGGATCGATACCCCGCGCCTCCATGACACCTTTTTTTCGTCGTTTTCGGGTGGAAGGGTGATCGGAGAGCTCCCCGGGTATTTCGACTTCCGATGCCAATCTCGAATAAAGTCCTCAAAAGTTTCGTGTTTTGTTTAACTTTCTGAAGATAAAACGCGACAATTTTGGGGACTGTATCCGAGATCGGCACCCCAAGTCGTTACACAATCCGGAGAGCTCTTCTATCACCATTCTAGCAGAGCGCTCAATGTGCGAGATGCAAGTGAGTGGTCTGGAGCAGGTCTGGAGTGGCGGCGTAGCCTCGTCGAGCGCCGTTGGGGTTAGGCAACCCATCCTGCCTCAGCGCTGCACCGGACCGCTAGCGCCGAGGGGCGATACGCATGCAGCGAGCGCATCGAGATACGCTCAACTCATTTCCACGGGATTTTCGCAGTTTTATTTTTCAAATTTATCAATTCTCCTCATCTCACCTCTTCGGGCAGGACACGCACCCACCCCGCTCGCGCTTGAGTGTGTGTGTGTGGTGGGGGTGGGGACACCACAGGCCTCCTGTAGCCTGAAGACTCCGGTACCAAATGTGAGCTAACTCTGTGAGTGAGGGTGTCTTCGGCGAGCTCGGGAGGTCCCCGTTGACGTCCTCCGGACTGCGCGGAAGGCTTCGGCGCCACCTGATTGAAACTTGGTGCTCCAGTACTAAATCCGAGCTTAAACAGGGCGTAAGGGCCCCGTTGGCTCCCTGAAATCGACTTTTTTGGTTTAATTTGCCTACAAAACCCTGTGTAGCACTTCAATGGTCTTCACCATTTGTTTACAAATACACTGGCCAGGCCAAGCTGTGTAGCCACAGCGCATCTTGGGCTTATTGGATCTGAGGCTTTACGAGAGGCGTGCTCTCTGCTCTCACAGCACGCCTTGGTTAGTGGCCGCAGTCTAGAAGAGCAGGGCACAGGATGTGCTGTGGGAGCCCATCTTTGTTTTTACATGTCAACTCCGGTGTGCTGCTGCAGCACGTCCTGGGCCTGGATTGTGTTGCCCTCCTCATTGAATGCCATGCCATGCCAATGGCCGACTGCTGCCAAGATGTTCCTACGGGGAAGCGACTTAGGCGTGCTCTGGGGTGCCAGCGACGAAGGCGGTTACTCATGTACAACATCTAGATTTTACTGTGTAGAGGGGCAGAAACACGGCTCTGTTACTCCGCTTCAGCCTGGGGCTGCCAAATCCCGGACCCACGGGTACCCGGGTATCCTGGGTAGGAACTAGGTACGCTATGGGTAACAGTGGGAGCCGTACTGCAGCGCGCTGTAGCGAACTGGCACACGCACCTGTTGCTGAGGTCTTCGGCCGAATGTCGACGAGATCCTGGGGGGGGGGGGGCGCCGGTCTCATCCGATTGTACGCGCCCGGGTCAGCCTCGTCGATGGTCGCATACGGCCCGGGGTACGTCCGCAGCAACTGCAGCAGCTGCTGAGCGGGGACCCCACTGGGAACACCGGATCTCACGCAAGGAAAATCGGAGAGCACCCGGAAACATGGGCAGACAAGTGGAATGTAAATAATAATGCTTTGTACCCAGAGTTGCAATTGAGTAAAAGTAACGAGTTTTCATCGTGAATAATGTTGAAAAAAAGGTTTATGTTATTTCCGCAGTTTGAACTCTGCGAACGAAAAGGCTGGCTCGGGCTGCGGTCAGGAGCAGGGGCAATAAGAGAAGACACCTTGCGGGAGCTCGGCGCCTGCGAAACTCAGGGTAGGCCAGGCCGCAGCACACGCGTGCACTGTAGGCAAGATGTTGCCTACCTATTGGGCGCTATGAGAGCTAACATTAGCATAGCGCAAGCTTAGCCCGTTTCGCAACGAGCAACGAAGGGCGTGTTTTCTAGATGATCCTAAACGTTACGTTCAATGTGTGCGCACTGGCAGCTGGCAGCTGACCGTTCCCATCTAAGTAAGCTCTAGCTCGCTCCAGCTCCTTGACGAAAAGGCTACCTTCTGTTCTGTCCCGTGTTAAAATTTGGGAAACGTAATCAAAGCAATGTCTTCGCACACGTCCCTCCAATCAACTTGAACTCCCACCTAGAACACGACCAGATACTGCACCAACTTACCAACTACCTTGGGGAAGTTTCTGCGCCGCATGTTGTCCAGAGCCCCTTCTGGTCCGCACTGCTCCGGGACGGCCACGTCCCGTGACGTCACATTCACGTCCCGAGGCCCGACGAACGAGTGGAGGTGCGCCGGCGGGGAGGCCGGCGGCGACGTCTGCGGCGCCACGAGGATGTCCACCACGCTGGGCTGCAGGTCCAGGTGGACGCTCGTGGTGCTGCGTCGGCGCTCCCTGCCGTCCCTGCGCTCCCTGCCCTGCTGCACCACCTCCTGGGCCACCCAGTCGCGCACCTTGCTCATGGAATGTACGTCGGCGGTGTCGTCGCGGCTCGTCCTGGCGCGGCCCATGCGGCTGGTGCTGCGGCTGGCGCTGCGCACCGCCTCGTACAGGTCGTCCTCGCTGTCGAGAACGTTTTCCCCCCCATCCCATGCACTTTGCATGGGTTTCCAAGGCGGTGAATCTCAGGACCCCCTAGCACCCCCTAAACTAGACGCAAGCCCGCGCCCGCCCCCGCGCCCCACGCCTGACGCCTGACGCCGGCCCGGCCCAGCTGTTCTGATCGTCCCGGTCGTCGAGGTCTTGGTTCTTATCGGCGTCCGGCCAACGCGCGGGCTGCGGTTCTGCAGGTGGCCGAGTGCCGGGTGGTAGGCATTCGTCTTGACGCGCGCCGCGACCACCGCCTTGTGCGGCCGACCCGACCGCCGGCCAATGTAAACAGAGCGGGAAGCAGACGGCAGCCGACAAACGGCGTGTTGTTGAGAGTGAATCTGAGCACAACGTCCAGCTCGCTGAAGTGTTTCCCAGTTCTAAACCGTTCTTGCTGCTGTGTCACTCTTAGTAACGTTCCTCCTGTCCCTGTAGTACTTTGCTTGAGGGAATATTAGTAATATCTTGCCTGTTCAGGCAGGGTTAATTTTCCTCGTTGTGAAACACAGGAACCTACTGGACAACTGGCTTGAAACACTTACATTTTGAAAAGTTTAGAACTGGCCGATAGCAGCGGAGTAGGTATGTATCTCAAGTTATGACCTTTTGTTTATTGATGATCTCTAACTGCCTGACCCTTTAAAACGGGGATCTCTTTTGTTGTTTTCGCAGCAAGAGACGATCAACCCTTCTTCTGTTTGAAATTCCTTTTCCTTTCTTAAGTCTCAATAGCGATTTCGTTTTTGTAGATTTAGTCAGCTGCTCAAAGAGTGCAAATCTCTTATCTGTTTGTTACAGTGATGGAACTTCAGTGTGACATTTGTTTTAACCAATTTGACCTGGATCACCACCGTCCTAAGTGCTTGCCTTGTGGGCACACCATTTGTCAAGAATGTGTGCAGAATCCTGCCTTGGATAGCAAGTGCCCAGCTTGCAGAATGGTCAGTACCGTAAAACAGGCTAATATGGACCATGCGGGGTGAAGTAGACCACTTTCTTTTTTCTCTGTTCTGCTTCTGCTCGACTTGTGCTACCACTTAGTTGTGTTCCTGACAATGCTGGGCGACAGCTCAGTGGTTGCGCAAGTCAAGCAGAAACAGAGCATAGGAATTAAAGGGTGGTCCACATTACCCTGCATAATCCATATAAGCCTGTTTTACGATAATTAAAATAGAAAGCAGTTGTATCTTCCCTTTCTTTGGTATGTATGCACAGTTGTTATGCAAGTAGCTCTCAACTACTTTATCGTCCTCTTTGCTGAGTGATTAAGAAATAGAAAAATGAGTCTATTTAACAATGAACTACTCACTGTTTGTTTCTTCAACATGTAGACTTGTACTATGACTCTTGGGCTGTTGAGTATATGATATCCATAGAATATAAGTACTTTATTTTTTTGATTATAAATCAAGGAAAAGGGTGCAGCTAACCATCTAATAAATAAGGCGTACTTTGCAGGTCAGGTTTTAGGAAACTTCTCAGACAATTTATTCCAACTAACTTGTAAGCTTCTGTAAAGATAATCTCCAATATGCATTAGCAGCACTACCAATCAATAAAAGAACTTATCTTTGGTTGCAATGGACACACTGTCGAATAATGGCTATATTTTATGCCTGTAAGGTCATTCCGACTGATCTGAACATCATTGAAATGCCATGCATAATTCATGCACTTTCGGGAACTTATCACTGTGTACTCAAAAGATGCTCCTTTTGCCATATTTGTGTGCATAGTGATCATTGTGCACTGTTCTGACAGGATCTGGCCGCCGACCTCACCGACCTCCCCGACAACATCCTAGCGATCAGGATGATTGAAAACGACGGCGCCCCTCCTCGCAAGAAGGCCAGGACAGAGGAGACTGAGGTCCAGCAGCTGCGGCGGGGCGTGGAAGCAGGCCGGAAGGTGGTGGAGGTGCTGCGGCTGGTGGTGCCCAAGGCCGTGGAGGCCCTCAACCGCCAGCTGGACTCCTCGGTCGCCCAGCTGCGCCAGTTGGAGGAGGCCCTGGAGCTGCAGGTGCAGCGGGGGCGGCGGGCGGCGAGGTCAGCGACCCGGTGGCGGAGCAGCTGCAGCTGGCGGTGCAGCTGGAGGACAGTCTGCGCCTGCTGACCGCCAACAAGTGCAGCGTGGTTGCGGAGGAGGAGGACGGTGCCGCCTGGCGGTCCAGCGCGCCGCTCGGTGGATTCAGCGACATCCTGCGGCTTCTGTTGCTGCAGCTGCGGGCGGACGGCCAGCTGGAGAAGGTAGGCAAACAGTCACACAGATAAGATGCTGTCCCTCGGTGTGTTGCTTACATCCGCTCTCCTTTCGCCAGGTCGACGGGGCTGCTTTTCCTGACACCTCTGGAGTTTTCGTGGGACCGCCAATCATCTCGGTTCTAGAGACAGATGAAGAAGATTTTGAAGATGGTGATTTAAAGGTTAATGACATTCTCCTAGACCGTCCACGATGGAGAAACACACGCAGCTTAAAGTGCTCTCACGGTGATGGTCTGGAGGAACTACTGCGCGTCCTCGCGGCGCAGCTCGAGGAACTGAAGATCAAGGGAGAGTGCAACGTTCAGCCTATGGTGGAAGTTGAGAGAATGACGTCACTGAAAAGACTGTCCGTAAAATGTGTTAACGATAAATCCCTGGACTACCCGGACCTCCCGTTGCAGCTCGAGGAGCTCGCGGTCCAAAATCCAAAAGAGAATCAGTTGCGGTGTGTAGAGCGGATGTCTAGGCTGCGCAGCCTGCAGGTACACGATTATTATGGTCCAAATTTGACCTTTGCCCCCTCGCAGCACGGAGCCTTGCGGTGGCTTTGCGTGGCCCTCAATACTGGCCACAAGGACACAATGATGTCGCTGATCCGCGCCTACGCCTCATCAGTGCAGCACCTCTGCATATACTGTAGCGTCAGTGATAGTAGAAAACGATCATTTTACTACCCTGACTTGGGCGGAGACTTGGCGGCGTGTGGTTTGCGAGCCTTGCTGCAGCTTGTCCTTGTACGTCCTAAAAGTGATCCATGCTCAGAGCAGGTCGCTCGTTGCCTGTTGCAGTGTCAGGCCATACGAAGATCCTTGCCTGCGCACGTCCAAGTGGTCTGCAGGAAGTGTAACGTGCCAGCATCCTAGGGAGAACATCTAAAGTGTACTTGTAACCATCTTCTTTAACGTGGCGGTGGTTGTAAAAGTGAGCAAACGTTTACACTTCCCGTCGTTTTACAACCAGTTATTTATTGATCATTTGTTTAAGTGCTTTAAAGGTAATTCACAATTTGAAAATTCAGGAGTTTAACTTGTGCTTTGCGTTAATAAAGGGGCACAACTTGTAAGGTGTTAATTTCATTGACATTTCAGCTAAATGCATTGCCTCATCGCCTAGATCCAGCCATTACGCCCGGGTTAGCCCGAGCGGAGCCACTGAATGTTGGTCGGCCTCGGCTTTGGAGCCCCCCGTGTGGAGGGTAGGTCATCTCATTTTGGTAGTCGAAGTCGGCG